GGAAGCCTTGTTACTAACTTGCTCATATATGCATTTGTGTGTTCCAGCTGTAAATGAGTCCACTATGAAGACTGTTCCTCAGGTGGTTAATGTTCAGGAGCTCAAGGACAAAGGGGCTACTGTGCCAGTTTCAAATATCATCAGGTAAAACCCAAAAACGATACAGATTATTTTGAATTATACTGTGGAATTGCCTCAAGTTAAGGGACAATCTCTGCTTTTGAAATCTAGTATCATTGTTTGTACTTGACTGATTGATCTGACTGATTTAGAAAAAGCTACAGGCAGACTTATTTAGGAGCTGAATAACTGTAAACAGTCCCACATTATAGTTTGTAGGCACTCACTGATGACAAATTTACCTGTTTGCCCCTGAATGTCACTAGACATTTTGTTTGAAATAATGATTGTTAAAATTGTACATGTATTTCAGAGCTTAAAGTCAAGATGTATGTGGCAGTGATATAAAACTGGTTTTACCTATGGGTGCTTTGTGGGTAAATAATATAGCTTTAAGTCTCGTAATTCTATCTATATATGTCTGTTTGTGTGTGTTATTTTGTGTTTCAGGTTACTTGCAGACAGATTTTCATGCGTTTTTCCTTTTGAAATGAAGTTTTTCCATTATGGGCAAATTTCTCATTGAGATTAATAATAAACATTTTCTTCTGTTTGTTTGGTATTTTCTGTTTATACATCTAGATTGCACAATCTGTTTGCTGTTTAATGTTAAGCATTTTACATAATATTAGTGTTAAATCATGCCACATCCACTTGGATCTATCTGAAACTGAAATCTAAGTTTTATCTGGTAAAGTATTTGCATTTGTAATGCAATGTGCTTTTTATTTTTATTGGTGAAGTGTCACAATACCTCTCCCTCTTGTGCTGTCTGTCCTAGCTCGTCAGTACCAGAGCCAGCAGCTCAGATCTTTGCAGCAGTTTCCTCCAACCAGGCCAAACGAGTGAGTATTATCTGTCCATAACTCACACAGCTGTTGTTCATCTTTTCATATATTTGTTCATCCACACAGCTGTAAATCATTAACAAAAAGTTAAAAATATTATCAGCCTTGTCAAAATACCTTAAAGTGTAGTAGGATGGTGATATTTTGTGCTCATGTTAGCTACTCCTACCACTTGAGCCTAGAAATAACCTGATCTTCTTTTTGTAGAAACAGGTTAATTGTTTAAAAGAAATGCCTATATATTAACTTTTTGTAGTGGGAGAAATCCTGCTTGGTGCAGGCACCAGTAAATATCTTGAATGTTTTTTTTTTTATTAATCTTTTTCTTATTACCAAAATTCTCGCACGTTCAGTGTTAATGTATCACTACCTAAAAATGACATATTGCTGAAAGATTTGCATGTGAAGGCAGACAGGTGAGAAATGTCACACTGCCCTCCTATGTTGATGTTACAAATTGCACTTGGGTGACAAGGGAACTCCTCACACAAATCTTCATTATTGTACAGGCCTCAAGTTCAGATTAATGTTGATGATCCAGACACACTGATGCTTAGCCGCGTGTGTCCACAGACACTTGAGTTTCTCTCTACTTATGTCTTAATATTACATCTTATTGTACTTGTGCTGTAACCCATAAGAGTGTGATCAAAAGAAACTGAAATAATGATTTTATAAAACATAAATAGAGCTTTGCAGAATCAAGGTATAAAAGTCTGTGGCTGTGTTAAACTGTCTCTGCAGAATCCCACCCAGGGTATCCAGAAGATGTCCGCTGAGAGTACAGCTACCCGCCAGGCAAATTTTGTGTTTGGTAAGCAATATGTATATGTGTGAGTTTCCTCTGACCTATTGCCCAGATTAGGCAACACATAACCGAAACTACATTCCAGAACATGGCTGATGATCTTTGACTACAAAATTGCAAAATGTTGTTTTGCTCTGCACTTCATGTCAAAATAAAGTGATACAGTTGCTTTTGTGATAGATTTAGACTAACTTCATATTCTTCAGGTCAGCCGTCCAAAACAGATGTGTCTGTGGCTCCTGCTAGCTCAGCAGAGCAAAGCACCAGCAAAGGTTTCTCCTTCACTACAGGGTGAGTCAACTTATGAAAATTAGAGGCATTCTGAAATTTAAAGATCTCTTAACAGAATATTATGCTGCGTGTTAATGATTTTAGACACTAACCCTTCTATTTCACTTTATAAATTTGAAATATTTTTGATGAGTCCTCCTGTACTTCATAAATATTAACCAGTCAAATGTAATGTGGGGGAACAACTAACCCTTTCCATTATATAGAACTGAACTTGACAATTGGTTTATACATATCTTTAATAATATTGCGGCTCAGTGTTTCTCAAAAAAGGAATGGCATAGGTGTAATTTATTAATTGTCCCTGCTTCCTAATCTAACCACAGTGCGAGGGACATGTGGGTGGAGGAATAGTTCTGCACAACTCTGTATTGATTGGATTCCCAGAGAGTCTAGCGATTTTATCAGATTCCTTTTGAAACAATACCCTGCCCAGATATTCTGTTTCATTCTGAAATGTACCCCCATTACAAAAGCTAAAGAGGAGTTCACTGTTATGTTATTGTGACTTAAGTGGTTTCTTTTGCAGGTCAGCAGGTTTCAGCTTTGCTTCAGTTACACAGGGAGCTGGAATGTCACAAGGTAAAAACAATACAGTATCTTGGGTTCAGGTGGTTGTAGTATGCTGTGCATGCCCTTTTCATTTTAAATTTATTTTTCATATACCTCTCCAGTGAAGGATGTGAATAAATTATCCTTTGGAAATGGCAAGTTGGTGTTTGGCCAGACTGGAGAGGAACCATTCTCCCTCACCCCAAAATCCACCTCCCCTGCTCTGGGCACTGTGTCTCCCACTCCAAACACATCAACAGAAGCAACCAAACCCACCTCTACCACAACTTCCCTCAGGATAGAGCCGCAACCCCCCAAGACAGCTGGAGGAGAGACTCTGGGAAGTTTCTCTGAACTACGTGTGGGACAAGAAGAAGCTAAAGATTCTTCCACCAAACCTGCAGCTGCGACATTCACCTTTGGGAGCACTGGATTTGGCTTGGCCAAGGGAGGGGCACAGTTTAGTTTTGATGCAGGTCTCCAAAAGTCTGCAGAAGATTCTATAGCAACAGACTTGTCCAAAGGGGCAGCATCAGGCAGTTTATTCAAGCCTCCTGAATCCAGTACCAAGCCAGCCTTCCCTGTTCCCCAGCCTGGTCCTGCTGCCTCAGCTTTACCCATATCATTCGGTGGTCTTCTTGCAGCGTCTTCGGACTCCTCAGAGGAATCAAAAGCTTCCCCACAGCCTTCAGAACCTACACCACCCGCTGACAAAGATCCTGTTTCTAAACCTGCTGTAGAGAGCACTAGTCCCCCTGTAGTACCGGCATCTGCAGGGAATGCCAACCCCAACGCCCGCCCTTCCTTTACCCACGCCCGCCCCTACCTCAGACCCTCCCTCCTACATCACTGCACCAGCTGAAGCAACCCCTTCAGCACCAGCCAGTGCTGTATCCACAACAGAAGCCACACGAGACAACACCACCACTGCTCCTGTGACTACTTCAGCTGCTGCCACCCCTGCTGTAGCACCCGCCTCCCAGCTAGCTCCACCACCATTTCCGGTGCCCAATTCTGACAAACCAGGCTCCATTTTTACTCAGCCTGCTCCTGCAGTAACAGACAGCAATTCCATTGGAGCCACACCAGTTATCATTACAGTTGCCCCTACAGTCAGCACTCCCACCCATACTGTTAACAGTGTCACAACTACTAATACCAGCACTGTGTTCGGGCAACCTGCTGCACCTCCAGCTTCCTCAGCCCCTTCGGCCCCTGCATCCACAGGATTTGGCTTGCCTGGTTTTGGTACAACAACCGAAACTACTTTTGGCAAATCTGTGTTTGGCCAGGTGAGTGGCTTTGGCCAGCCTACCAGTGGAACATCCAGTGGCTTTACCTTTGGCCAATCAGCATTTGGAGCAAGTTCTAGTACTGAGGTGACTGGAGGAGGAGGAGGAGGAGGAGGAGGTGGTCTTTTTGGTGCATCTACTGCTAGCAATGTGAGTTCCTTCTCCTTTGGAACAAGCAGTGCCAACACGGCCAGCAGCACTGGCTCAGGGCTGTTTGGGCAAGGCACAGCCCCTGCATTTGGTCAGAGTTCTGGATTTGGTCAAGGGTCTGTGTTTGGCAGTAACACCACCACATCATCATCCACAGGTTACGGCTTTGGACAGCCTTCAGGTGAGTGTGAACCTGTACTTCTCTTACTGCTCAGTGGTAAAACATGGGAAGAGCTGGTGACTAATATGTTTCAAACATTTCTGGTTGGTACATTATTAGAATAGTTATAGAAGTAAGTGTTTTGTAAAGATAATAGTGAGTAGGATAATGCCACTTATGTAGTGTACATCTGTACTTTGTAAATCTTCTGACTAGGGATGTCACGATACCAGAATTTTGGCAGTCGATGTATATATATTTTCACATTTGGTAATCTGAACTAAATCTAAACTATTTTCCCAAAGTGTTCTTTTTATAAAGTCACTCTCACAAAGTCATTTTTCTTTTCTATATAAAGCATGTTCAATTCACAAGATTTAATTTTGTGGATATTTATAATTTAGAAAACAGAAAAGATTCCTTCAGGCTTTTAAAATAATGAGGTGTACATTTCCAATTTCAGACCAGTCAGCTGTAAAAATCAAGTTGGTTGGTATTCAAAGTGCTGTTATATTTACAAATCAACACTACAAACAGCTAAGTCACATTTCACAGTGTTGAAGCTAACAAAGTTTGGCATAACCAACCACTGAATTATATCGCTATTATGGTAAAGGCAGTGTGGTAAGCCATGTGAAAGTCCCATCTTATTCAGCTGACTTGCAGATATTGTGGTGGTTGAAGCCAAGTGTGATACTTGCCAACTAATTATGTCAGTACTACCACGCTGAGTGGGTCGGAGATGTGGTAGTGGCTGTGGGATTTATGGTGTGAGAGTCTGAGTAAGGAGGGTGGCATGAGGGGAGTTGTCCCATTCCCAAAGATTCTCTAAATGCCTAACACAGTGTGAGAAAGTATCTCTGTGGACAGCTGATGACTGTGTGAGCTTGGCAGTTTGACACAGCTTGTTGCTGTGTATAGACTTTCTGCTCAGCTCTTAACACTGTTTATGACACTCGAGGAAGAAAGGGAAGCTATATAGTGGTGACAAAAAATTTGTGTGGCACCACCTGCTACCTGGCACTGCAGAGTTAACACACATTGTCTTAGGCTTGTTTTCCTTTCCTTCTCATCACAGCTTTTGGCTGTTCACCTGCTGCCCCTGGTTTTGGCCAGCAGCCTAGCAGTGGAAGTGTATTTGGACAGGTATCCAGTTTACGTAATTTAGTTGATAGAGCAAACTATGAATAGTATAATCTTAAAATTCAAAGTTTTGCCCATTTTCCTGGATACATTGTACAACTAATATTTCTCTCCCAGCAGCAGCCGTCATCTGGTGGGAGTCTGTTTGGTTCAAATTCAGCCAATGCAGCAGGCACATCTGCTGGTGGAGGGTTTTTTAGTGGCCTAGGAGGCAAACCGAGTGAGGAAGCCGCCAACAAGAACCCATTTGGCTCCACTGGCTCCACTGGAGGGTTTGGACAGTCTGCTCAGACAGGTGGGCTAACATTACCTATAAAACATTTAGCTGATACTTCCCCCTATCCTCTGTTCATATATTGTTAACATACTAGAAACCAAATGAAAACATTACACAAACATAGCAGAAATAAACGTCTCATTTTACTGTCCTTGAAAATTACATTTATCTTTCTAGGTACCAATAGTCTGTTTGGGAACAGTGGTGCCAAAGCCTTTGGTTTTGGACAGTCTTCGTTTGGTGAACAGAAACCTAGTGGGACCTTCACTACAGGAGCAGGAAGTGTCGCATCCCAGGGCTTCGGCTCATTCTCTACTCCAACCAAACCAGGTACAGCTGTTGTTGCATTTATTCTAATACTACTGTTCTTCAGTCCTTACTGACTTGCTCTTGAGATACTCTTACCCACTGTATGAAAGTGGAGCTTGCCTTTACATTGCAATTAATATACAGTGCCTTGCGAAAGTATTCGGCCCCCTTGAACTTTGCGACCTTTTGCCACATTTCAGGCTTCAAACATAAAGATATAAAACTGTAATTTTTTGTGAAGAATCAACAACAAGTGGGACACAATCATGAAGTGGAACGAAATTTATTGGATATGTCAAACTTTTTTAACAAATAAAAAACTGAAAAATTGGGCGTGCAAAATTATTCAACCCCCTTAAGTTAATACGTTGTAGCGCCACCTTTTGCTGCGATTACAGCTGTAAATCGCTTGGGGTATGTCTCTATCAGTTTTGCACATCGAGAGACTGAAATTTTTGCCCATGCCTCCTTGCAAAACAGCTCGAGCTCAGTGAGGTTGGATGGAGAGCATTTGTGAACAGCAGTTTTCAGTTCTTTCCACAGATTCACGATTGGATTCAGGTCTGGACTTTGACTTGGCCATTCTAACACCTGGATATGTTTATTTGTGAACCATTCCATTGTAGAATTTGCTTTATGTTTTGGATCATTGTCTTGTTGGAAGACAAATCTCCGTCCCAGTCTCAGGTCTTTTGCAGACTCCATCAAGTTTCCTTCCAGAATGGTCCTGTATTTGGCTCCATCCATCTTCCCATCAATTTTAACCATCTTCCCTGTCCCTGCTGAAGAAAAGCAGGCCCAAAACATGATGCTGCCACCACCATGTTTGACAGTGGGGATGGTGTGTTCAAGGTGATGAGCTGTGTTGCTTTTACGCCAAACATAACGTTTTGCATTGTTGCCAAAAAGTTCGATTTTGGTTTCATCTGACCAGAGCACCTTCTTCCACATGTTTGGTGTGTCTCCCAGGTGGCTTGTGGCAAACTTTAAACGACACTTTTTATGGATATCTTTAAGAAATGGCTTTCTTCTTGCCACTCTTCCATAAAGGCCAGATTTGTGCAGTATACGACTGATTGTTGTCCTATGGACAGAGTCTCCCACCTCAGCTGTAGATCTCTGCAGTTCATCCAGAGTGATCATGGGCCTCTTGGCTGCATCTCTGATCAGTCTTCTCCTTGTATGAGCTGAAAGTTTAGAGGGACGGCCAGGTCTTGGTAGATTTGCAGTGGTCTGATACTCCTTCCATTTCAATATTATCACTTGCACAGTGCTCCTTGGGATGTTTAAAGCTTGGGAAATCTTTTTGTATCCAAATCCGGCTTTAAACTTCTCCACAACAGTATCTCGGACCTGCCTGGTGTGTTCCTTGTTCTTCATGATGCTCTCTGCGCTTTAAACAGACCTCTGAGACTATCACAGTGCAGGTGCATTTATACGGAGACTTGATTACACACAGGTGGATTCTATTTATCATCATTAGTCATTTAGGTCAACATTGGATCATTCAGAGATCCTCACTGAACTTCTGGAGAGAGTTTGCTGCACTGAAAGTAAAGGGGCTGAATAATTTTGCACGCCCAATTATTCAGTTTTTTATTTGTTAAAAAAGTTTGAAATATCCAATAAATTTCGTTCCACTTCATGATTGTGTCCCACTTGTTGTTGATTCTTCACAAAAAATTACAGTTTTATATCTTTATGTTTGAAGCCTGAAATGTGGCAAAAGGTCGCAAAGTTCAAGGGGGCCGAATACTTTCGCAAGGCACTGTATTATCAGATAGATGAAAATGCTGACACTTTCAGACCAGACATGTCTTCATGTACTGTTCATACTTAGTGGATGGATTAAGTTCCTTAATTAGAAGTAAGCAAACACCATAGCAAATATAAATGATACTGTTTTTATGTACATAGAGCAATAGACACATTAACCAGGATGGGCAAAAGCATTAATGCTGTTTGATATTCTCTGTTCTTTCACATTTTGGGGCTCATGGTTAGTGATGTTTGAGGTTTAGTGATAGTGGGGTGGCATGTGAATGAAAGGTAAGCACTGCTTTCTTCTTTATCATCTGAGCTCTACCCAGCGCCCTTATCTTGTCACCCCGGCAGAGCGGAAAGTGAGATAGTCAGGTGCCGCTTCAGTACCTGCTGATTGTTACCTCTCAACATTGCTAAGTCACAGTGCAATGAATCAAAGATGTATGACATATTTATTTCAGTATCTGGTGCATATTTGATACAGAGAAGGATTTACATTCTCTATGTGAGCATGTGAAAACAGACAAGTTATTTCTACTGTCATTTTTTATAAATTATCTTTGTCTTTAAATGTATGTACATAAATTTTTGTGTATGATATATAACAGTTAAAACAGTGTTCTCATCACAGCTGATTATTTATGGTTTTATTCATGCATGGCACTTTTAATATCAGTGAGTAGTTGGGTTTACGATGGCTTTTGCATTTTTTTTGTTCCTATTAATATTTATTTAAGGGTTAAATGTGTGTTAAAAGCCTTTAACCTCTACAACACCAATGCAGTTGCCATTTCTGTCCCTGCAACTTGAGCTGATGTCATGGTTTGGTACAAAAATGTTGCTAGTTTGTTGCTACCTTTTACTTTCATCTGTTTGTAACAGCTCAGGGCATGTGGAGACAGGGGAGGATGAGCATCATCTGATACTCGAGTTTCTTTGTGAGCTGTGTGATATGTGATTTATTTATTTATTCCTTAAAGGCTGAAGTTTAGATCTGTAAAATGCAACCTCTAATGGAAGAAAAACACGTTTGGCTTATTAACTAATATTATAGAAGGATATGGGATGGCATGTCCAAATAAAAAGGACAGCTAGGCTTCTGAAATATTTCACATTCACAGCAGCAATCCAAGCTGTCCCTCCTCTCCACTGGGATATTGGTACGATACAGCACACTAATGCCTCATCACGGGCCCACATACAAGGAATGTAATCTTGTTACATTAGCACAACCAGTTATTTACTGGGGCATACTGGTAGTCAGGCTGTAATTGCACTACACTCCTCCTTCCCTGCCATTGCTACCTCTGAGCCTTTGAACTGGTGTGAAGTATTCATCCTGCCATTAAGCTGGTACTGTGTACTGTTTAAAAATAATAATGTACTGCACACAAGACACTAAATGCTAACTACATTCACCATGCTCTCACATTGTCTTGTGAGCTACAGTGATGAAAATGTTTGTATTCATTGGAAATTATGATTCAGATGCTCTGTTTGTTTTATACCTGCTTACTTGTTACTATTAAGGCAGTGGTAGCCCTGTTGCAGGCCACATGTAGAATGTATGAATAGTAATATTTACATGGTCTAAGCAGAACTCTTGACATTATTTTCTGTCTGTTGCCCAACAGGCCTCCCTGAAAAGAAAAATACCCTTGACATATGGGAAATGTCTTTTGTAATAAGCTACACCATGCTTCAAAGGGCATCGAAACAACTGCATGACTCACCATCTCTTCTCTGTAGAAAGA